GGCAGAGAACATCACCAATACCCGCACCATCACTCTCACACCATCACCGGCAGAGATCATCACCAATACCCTCACCATCACTCTCACACCATCACCAGCCGAGATCATCACCAATACCCGCACCATCACTCTCACACCATTACCGGCAGAGATCATCACCAATACCCGCACCATCACTCTCACACCATCACCGGCAGAGATCATCACCAATACCCGCACCATCACTCTCACACCATCACCGGCAGAGAACATCACCAATACCCTCACCATCACTCTCACACCATCACCGGCAGAGAACATCACCAATACCCGCACCATCACTCTCACACCATCACCAGCAGAGATCATCACCAATACCCTCACCATCACTCTCACACCATCACCGGCAGAGATCATCACCAATACCCACACCATCATTGTCACACCATCACCGGCAGAGAACATCACCAATACCCTCACCATCACTCTCACACCATCACCGGCAGAGATCATCACCAATACCCACACCATCACTCTCACACCATCACCGGCAGAGATCCTCACTAATACCCACACCATCACTCTCACACCATCACCGGCAGAGATCATCACCAATACCCGCACCATCACCGGCAGAGATCATCACCAATACCCGCACCATCACTCTCACACCATTACCGGCAGAGATCATCACCAATACCCGCACCATCACTCTCACACCATCACCGGCAGAGATCATCACCAATACCCGCACCATCACTCTCACACCATTACCGTCAGAGATCATCACCAATACCCGCACCATCACTCTCACACCATCACCGGCAGAGATCATCACCAATACCCGCACCATCACTCTCACACCATCACCGGCAGAGATCATCACCAATACCCGCACCATCACTCTCACACCATTACCGGCAGAGATCATCACCAATACCCGCACCATCACTCTCACACCATCACCGGCAGAGATCATCACCAATACCCTCACCATCACTGTCACACCATCACCGGCAGAGATCATCACCAATACCCGCACCATCACTCTCACACCATCACCGGCAGAGATCATCACCAATACCCGCACCATCACTCTCACACCATCACCGGCAGAGATCATCACCAATACCCACACCATCACTCTCACACCATCACCGGCAGAGATCATCACCAATACCCGCACCATCACTCTCACACCATCACCGGCAGAGAACATCACCAATACCCACACCATCACTGTCACACGCACACCATCACAGGCAGGGACCATCACCAACACATCATCACACGTATTTTTATACACACACCATCGCAGTCAAACACACCATCACCAGCCGCTTACACTGTCACAACACAGGCAGTCAAACTATTAACAGTATACACAGGTTGTTACAGTATAGTATATATAGTAAGTGGTCAACGCTCAAGGGTTTGTAAGTACTGCGCCATATGTCTCATTGCGCCCTCTGGCGGAATATACACTTAGTACAGTATATGTCCCGGTATTGGAAAATCAGATTTTTTTTTATCAAGCCCAGGGAATCATCTAGGTATCTCAGGGATCACAGCACCGAGATGGCACCGCTGAGATCATGGGTTCTATGGTAGGCAACCGACAATTATTCTCAATTGTAGCCAGCTGATGGTCTCAGCCTGGTAAACCAACGACTAAAAAAAACTCTAAACATTTCGTTTTGTGCAAATCCGGTTTGCGACCAACATTACTCCGTGTAGCGAGGTTGGTGCGAGAGTGGAGAGCCCTTTAGTGATCAGAGGTCGCTTGAATGTATACCACACGGTAGTTCTGTCATTTCCCCTTCTGCGGCCTGTTCTTTATGACACGTGTCTCTCCGAGCGTTCCGAATTTAATATTTGTCTCATGCTATCGTATCGATCGTCCAATTGAGACAAAAGTGGGGGAAACCGCTACAAATTAAAGAAACGTAAAAGAGGCTTTTGTAATCAGATTGCATGTTACCTTGCTTGGATTTGTATGGAAACCTAATGTGTTTTAATCACAGGGGTGTATTTTTCCACCAAAAATAAAACATTTAGATCTATTGAGAGGTGTCGTCTGGATCAATATACACATCCCAGCAAAGTTTAAGTAGTCATTAAACCCCAAGACCAGATTAGACATGTTGAGTCTTCATCAGCATTGTTGTGGGCTCCCAGCAAGTAAAACCCAGGTCACGACTTCCCATTAAATCAAACGCTGCTGGAAAACTCAGGCTCCAGAATTTGGATAGGTTGATGAACCAACAAGGTATTTTACGTTTGGGTCGCGGAGCAGACCATTGCATATTATTTATTACAACAATAAACCAAGGTAGCGCATGGTTAAGACAGCACATTTTCTACAATCCTTGGCAGTGGAATGAGATTTTGTGTGTTGACAAGTGTCGCAATTCTGGAAACAGATTGCGTGTTGGCAAGCAGTATCAGACCTCATGAATTGTCACTGTAAATTGTTCATGATGCTGGGCTTGTATTTCCCAGATAGTATGCAGCGTATAGGGAATTGCTAATTTCCAAATCGTACAAGCTACGCACGCTTATGACCAAATCAATTGGAATGCACCCGATCCTGTCAGATTTCGGAAGCTAAGCATGTTCAAGGCAAGATAGTGATTGGATAGGCGACTATCATGCATTACAGGTGTTGTCGATTTGAAGCTTTCGTGACTGCAGGAATCCAAAACTCTTTGGTTCTTTCGGTAAAGTCACGTAGGTATAAAATAAAATAAATCACTACGTTTCAATCGCAACACAAGCGGTCGTCCTCAGGCGGAAAAAATATAATCCAGCAGTGGAGCTGTTATACCTACGTGACTTTACCGAAAGAACCAACGAGTGTAGGTGGTGTAGAGACTGCGGACCTACGTGGTGAGCAGAAATGCAGAAACATGTATTGTTGTACACCACTGAGTAGTATTGCTATGCTCCCACATCTATGATTAGCACCTGCATCAACCTGCAACCTGAACAGCCTGGTGAAGTTTGGTCTAATAATTCCCACGACTCACAGGGTGTGAGAAGGCCCTCATAGAGCAAGCAGTGGATTAGCATTAATGGCTGTACATGTACACAAGCTGTAACGCGTTAAGTGTTCACATGTTTCATCATTAGACCTCCTTTGCCAGTACCAAAATGTAATAATAGGGTTTTTCCCCTTTTTTCTGGCAACAAAACTGAAACCTTTTTTTAACGAGGATTCATGTCTGCATTAACCACAATACCTGCAGTCAAAATGCAAACAAAAAACATACGATGATAATATATGATGCATTCATCTTCTTGGTTCTTTCGGTAAAGTCACGTAGAATGGAAACAAAGTAATAAAAATAAAACATAATAAAATAAAATTCTCACGACGTTTCGGCCACAACACAAGTAGCCTTCTTCAGGTGAAGGAACAGAACTGTCGGGACAACAGCGCTTCAATGAACGCTGCTAAGCTTCGCAGCGTCTTTTAAGCTAGGTGCAGAGCGCTCCTTTGTCAAGGCGCTCTGCTCCTCCAACCTAGCTTAAAAGACGCTGCGAAGCTTAGCAGCGTTCATTGAAGCGTTGTCGTCCCGACAGTTCTGTTCCTTCACCTGAAGAAGGCTACTTGTGTTGTGGTTTTACCGAAAGAACCAAGAAGATGAATCCCTGCAGTCACGAAAGCTTTAAATAGAAATATATGCATTGTCCTTGAAACTGATTGGTCCACACCAAGGGACGGCTTTCTTTTTAGCCTCGACCCAATTGGTGCTCGACCAGATGACGCCAAAAGGCGTACTATTGTATTATTGTTCAGATGTTGTACATCACGGGAGTAACGCCGTCTATCTATTCCCCCAAATCACGCAAACAATACAGGCTTTTTGCATTTCTCACAACACATTCGGGAATAGGGCATTTCTCTGCGTTTGTATTGAGCAATTCTCAAATGTCTCAAATGGGTGAGCGGTGGCGCAGTGGTTCGTGCACTGCGCGTTCAAGTATACACCACTCTTAGTTTGATACCCGGTCACGGCTAGCATCAGTGGCGAGTGATATGTGAACCCTAGCATCAGTGGCGAGTGATATGTGAACCGGTCCTATGTACCCCCCGCCTCCATTCATCAATCCGCACTGACCAGCAAACTGAGCATGTTTAACGCGTAGGCCTTCGCGACCAATATCCATAATACAGGTTTTTTGGGTTAGATCGCGTAAATATATAAATGTGTCGTTAAACCCGCCACCACCCGACACAGCCAATGAGTAAGGGTTGTCACGTAAACAGAGCATGCCAATTCGTTACTAGTACACACAATCTACTAATTGGCTGTGTCGGGGGGGTAGCGGGTTTAACGGCACATTTATATTTACGCGATCTATGGGGCCGTCCATAAATGACGTCACGCATCTGTGGGGGGGGGGGGGGGGGTCAGACATTTGTGACGATGTGTGACGAGGGTGGAGGGGGGAGGGGGGGTGAAAATGTGACGTCACATCAAAATTCGCAACTTTAAATAAATATAGACAACACGTTCTATTTTATTAAATATACTTTTTTGTTAAATGTTTGCTCCTACAACATCAGAGTAGTTCAGCGCCACATTAAATACGCACTACAATTACAATAGTTTAAAGCGATTTGAAGCATGTTTTATTTGGGGGGGGGGGGCAGAGCTTTGTGACGTCATATTTGAGGGGGGGTCTGACGTTTTGTGATGCCGTGTGACGAGCGGGGGGGGGGTCAAAAACCGCCCAAAATCGCGTGACGTCATTTATGGACGGCCCCCAACCCCCCAAAAAACCCTGTTTTAAGGTTGTAAGAAGTGGGGGTGGGTTGTTGTTGTTTTTAGTTTAGTACACAAGAGCTCCCTCCAGTGGAAGGGCCCTTCCCGCCGCCAGTGCTGAACACGAGCAACTTTCGGGGGCTGCGCCTTCATCTGCTCACGCTCACCACGTGCTGTCAAAGTCTCGCGAGTCACGTGGGCACGCTGCCCCGCCCTCTCCCGCCCGCCCGCCCCGCCCCCACCCCCTGCGTCCCGAGCTCCGGAAACCCCGTCGCACCCGCGGTCGCCATTTGCTTTTTTGGCGGCGACCGCAGTTTGCTCGCGAGCGGCACAATACAATCAAAGAAAAAAATTTGGCGCCCGAGCGATTTCCGACGTTCGCTTCATCCGTCGCCGGATGGATTGAGTCTCACTCGTTATCGTCGTCGCCGCCGCCGTCCACAAGAAGAAGAAGCGTGGACCGCAAGCAACGGAGCCGGCATGAGGGAGGCGCGGGGTGCGGAGGCCTGCGCTAGGCCGCAAGCCTTGGCCTGGGAGACACCGCTTCCGCTGCACGCGGAGAAGTGACCTCTTTCTTATCCTGTTATTATTCATAACACTTATCAGTAACTACCATTATAACCACTGCTACAGTGTGAGTGCTTCTTTAGAGCGAGACTAAAAGCAGTAAGCCGAGCCCTCATCACGCGAACCTTGTGACGCGAATTGGGCCTCTGGGGCCTCGCGACGTCGGAAGCGCGAACCCCCTCAGGGGTGCGTGGGGGTGGTGGAGACTGCAGGGGTCCTGAGGGGGTTTGAGTGTAGAGGTGTGAAGGGTGTGTAAGGAGTCTTGAGGGGTTCTATGTAAGGGTGTTGGGGGTTGTGTGGCTGGTTGGATCTTTGCGGGTACAGTGATCTGTAGGGGTGTGGTGCACACAAATATATAGGGGTGTGCGTAGGGGTCTTGAGGTGTTAAGGGTTTCTGTGGGCTTTGTGGTACAAGGTGTAGTAGGTATGTGAGGGGTTAAGGTGTCCGAGACTTAGGTTAGGGTTGTGTGGTTGTAGCAGTCTTGAGGTGAATGGTGTAGGAGGGTTTGTAGGGGGGCACATTGGTGTAGGGACGTAAAAGGGTCTGTGCGATTGAGGGGGTGTGGGGTTCTCACGGGTCTCGTGAGGGTTGTAGGTCTCTCAAGGTTGACGCTGTGCTCAGCATCAGACCGCACATTCACACGCAGCGCCGTTTAACCCGAAGCGGCCTCCACAGCCACGGACTCCCCATCGCCGCGGACACCGCTTTGACCACCGGACTCCCCTTATTCGATCGTTCCGCCCACCAGCGTCCCGAAGACCCCTCGTCTACGAAGAGGCTCGCCGTCTGTCCCAAACCCGTACATTAGGTCCGCAGATCGGCCTGATATAGCCGCTACATCGCACGCACCCGCCCGTCCGACCCTTGCCGCTCTCCCGCCCACTCGGAGCCATGTCTTGCGTTCACTACAAATTCTCTTCCAAGCTCGACTATGACACGGTCACGTTTGACGGTCTGCACATCTCCCTGGCCGATCTCAAGAAGTCCATCATGGCCCGGGAGAGGCTCAAGGCTGCCGACTGCGACCTGCAGATCACCAACGCACAGAACAAAGAAGGTAATACCTCAATTCCTCCGTTAAATAAGGCAGTGACCCCTTCAGAACAGAGGTTGCTTCGCTTCTAATCTGAAAGCTACGGGATCAAATACTGGGCGAGGGTCCACTGCCATCATTTGGGTTGAGATAATGAAGAAATCAACCGGTCAATCAGGTTGACTGATCTGTCATGCCATTTGGAATATGGAATTTGCATCACAATTTAATATTGCAAACCAGGTTGGATGCTTGTTGAGTATTTTCGGACTTTGCAAAATGGTGTTCTGATGCCCCCAAATATCTTTATTCCCTGCAGAATACACGGAAGACACTGCACTAATCCCCAAAAACTCGTCTGTGATCGTAAAACGCATCCCCATCGGAGGGGTGCGGGCTGTCAACAAGGGATTTGTGTAAGTAGCGTCCCCAGCACCCCGCGTCACACTCGACGTGATGCCAAGCAAGGCAAACATGAGTCGCGCCGTTTATGCTATGAGAATGACAAAAATTTAATTTTACCCAATTAACACGTTTTACCAATTCTCACATCAGTCCATTGTACACTGTTCGTACATTGTCAGTTAAAATTGATTACTGATCGTATAAATAAAACCACGTAAGGCAATTAACCAGACGGCCTTCCAGAACAACATTTGTTTAAAACAGTGGTTCTCAACCCTTTTAGTATAGTGCTCCACCCCCCCCATCAATACCACTGGTCTTCAGACTCCCGAGACCCAAAAACACTTAAGACCAGAGTACATTGAGGGCACAAGACCATGCTGCTACTCAACGGGGTGCTAATAAGACATTTGTTTAATTAGCGTGTTTTGTCGCCGTGACATGGCGCTGACGTTCCCCGGAAAGTCTACAGTTCTCCTGCACGGTATCTATGCCGCAGCCTGCGCCCCCATAACGATCGTTTCCGTTACCACTGGGGGAGGCGAATGTTCATCACGGGTTGAGAACCGCTAATTTAAAGTAACGACTTGACAGTTTTCAACTTACCTGGCTTTTTTAATCAGTCAGGCATTTCGGTTTTCCTGACAAAAAGGCGTTTGATTCAGTGAAAGTTGATGCAATCATCGAAGCTATCGGAAACCAAGACTTCAATTTATATAGAGGTATAGAAATGATCGAAACCGTTTACAAATGTAATCACTCCACTGAGATTGCCTGAGGAAAGTAACAAGGAGTTAGCCAGTGAGGTATGCCGTCACCAAGGCTATTCACAAAGGCAATACATTTTTGGAAAACTGGATTAGAGAAATAAACGTATATAATAAATATAAATGGAGAAAGTATTAACCATGTCATTTACTGACTAGAAAAAATAGCAACCAGTGGCAATGAACTTGGCAATACAAATATTAAAATGTTGGACTCAATATAAATAGCAAAACCAAAGTAATGTACAGTAATAATAAAGACAATAATTGTTGGAGGGCCACGATTGGAAAACAACACAATATATACCTAGAGCAATTATTAAAGTGAACCTTCATCAAGGCGAGGAATTTTTATTTATTTCCCAATGAAAACAAACATTTGTTGACTGAAAGTTTTAAGTCCTTATGTTAACTGCTATGACATGGGTCAGACACTTCTACACTGACAAAATAATGCTGAAGAGTATTAGGTAAAAGTATGTGGCTTTGTATATTATGGAATAGCTGTAAATTTGACATGTCACATTGTCAAGCAAAGCAGGTGGGCTTGGGTGCAGGACATATTGCTAGAAGGGAGTATGACGACTGATGGATGAGACCGGTGACAAAATTCCATCTCAATGAGATTTGAGTGATGAGATTAGATCATTGCAGAGTGTGATGAATTGACATCGCAAGACCGCAGGGGTTGGTAGTAAATGAACATCTTCATCCAACAATGAATAGACCATGGCTGATAATGATGACTTTCATTAGGTTGTGGTCCAGAATGTTCATTTGTCAATGGACTTAAATATGACTTGTTTGACATGACGAAACAGACACATTCATTATTAATTAATGTCCCCTTTGCAGCGAACACACATTGATTTTATGCTCTGTGCACGTTGTGTAAATGAATGTAGACCGAATCCTACGTTATCAGTATGTTGGCACATCTATTGAATTGGCCATTTAATGGCTTGGGTTGTCCCTAATAACACAATCATTGAATTTTCAAGTGTTTGATAATTCTAGCTACAACCAATTATCTTTAACTTGAGGCATTGTTGGATGGATCCCGATCTTACTTGCCAACCCCCTATCTATTATGTAAACACAGTACACTCTCGTAATAAATATAATTACATGGTGCCATTGGGCATGTAACGATTTGCTTCCTTCGTATTTTCATTGCCCATAAGTCAGGGTTACGATTAAATTCAATAACAATTTGCCGATGCGGTACATGTAATCTTTAGTGGTTGCAGGGCTTACGAGACCAAATTACAGAATTAAAAAATAAACCCTATTTGTGTGCTGTATCGTGAATATTTTAGACCCCCTCCAGGCACAGAGGCTGTCTAAATGCTGCACCACAGTATTAAAAACGAATTGATTCTCAAATTGAACTACAACATTTAAATTTATCTTGGGGGGGGGGGGAATTGTTACCCCACCAGTAGATGCTTCGTCTGTGTATTTGGAACTGCATTTCAAGCTTTGGTGAGGAGCATTCTATTGACTTCACTGCAGTTAAATATCAATTATGGGAGCAATGCTACAGTTATGTCACCAGAGTACTCCTAACCAATTTTTTTTCCTAATGTAGCTACATTAATAATTGGCGCGTGTCCTCATGCTTTCATTCACCTGTTTCCACAATGTTTCCCCCTCCACTTCTGTGTAGTCTTGGGATGTTGTATTTTCGTGCTTAAATTAATACGTACAATGTGATGTTTTTGGTGTAGGTGTAGAACCGTGCATTCCCTGACTTCCAAGACGCATGCTGATTCGATTTTTTTGTGTTTTCTAGTGAGCGATCAGATCCCGGCCCAGCAAAAGCAGTATGTAACCTAAGTATTTTCTATTTCTCTTTACCTCCTTTGCCTATACTCACATATAGTCACATGCTTGTGAGAACATCACCCACACTGAGAAGGGGGCTTTCAATTTTTTTTTCTTTTAGCAGTTGAAGACCTGAGTGTGACCCACATTTTCAAATAAATGCTATCATGACATAAGGTTCTGTGTCAACAAAAGCATCTTACAGGACTAATTGTTTTTGTTCTCTCTTAAGACTGCAGTTTATTTTAAGTTGCAATCTTAATGTGATGTATTTATGCGTAATCGCATGAAGATCTAAACATTCCATTTTGATCTTGATGCTGTGCTACCAATGCAGCTTGTGGAATTCCTGTGAGCTGTTGTGCAAATACCTGATTTCCTTTGCAAGGGAACCCCTCTGTGTATGTTATCCTGCAGCAGGATGCCGAGTACTCTTAATGTTTAATTCCAAGAGCCTAACGGGAGGTTTTTGTGTTGCTTCAAAACATTGGTAAAAAAACAACATGATATGAGATTGCAGTCTATATGGTTTACTTGGTGTGGAACAAAATAAAGATTATTGAGAGTGGGTTAATACTTGAAAAGTATATAATTACCCAATGACTATGGCGACTCATTATCTGCCTGCCTGAACCTAGAAGCACTATATCAAACTGACGTTTAATCATAACGAATACAGTCGCATGACGTCAAAAGTATGACTTTTACCGATGTGTTCTCTTGTATGGGGATGGGAGGCTGGTGGGAACGTTTTGTGCCGACACCATTCACCTTCATGTGTACCTTGGGCACGTTCTAGCTTTTCGACGAGACGTGGCCTGAATTTGGAAACCTGTACCGTATGTGTTGGGGTGCGTTATTTAAATCACAGTATGCACAAAAGTGCCTCGTTTATTTACCTCGCGCATTTTGTTGCCGTGCAAATGTAACGTCCAGTGTTTGCGTTCACGAAGCGCCGAAAATGTTGAGGGGGCTCTCGTGCACGGCGCTCCGCATGAGCCACGCCGATCGCCCACAGCTGTTGCCGCGCTGAGACGTGTGCGTGCAGTTCCCCCCCCCCGTCCCATCCGCCTCGTCCAGCCCTGCCGATCGCAGTGCAGTTGTGAGAATGCCGCAGCCGAGTGTGCCTCCCCCCTCGCCACTGTATGACTGTTGCTTCATTGCCCGTCGCGGTCAATCACGGGGTAAAAAAAAAACCCGACAGTACTGTGTTGTGTCACATGCAAATAAAGTAATAAAGAGTCGTGGAAGGGTGTCTTTCCTGTTGATTGTCCTTTGCTGAGGCCAGGGCTTGTTTCAAAAAGAAGCTAAAGCTATTCCCGCAATGTTCTCTTGTGAATGGGACCACTCAAAATTGCAGTGTAGGAATTTCAATGGGGAGCATTAGGCGAGCAGTTAGTTGGGTGTAGGGACTGAGGCTGCCGTTATCATTCGTCATCGCCAGCATTTGTCATGGGCGCACATGTGCCGGTACAGCGGTTGCTGTGGTTGGGGTGACCCCTTCACAATCGCGAGGCTGTGTGCAGTGGATTCCCACTTGTCACCACCACCTCTGGCACTCGCTGCCTGGTGCTGCGTGGCATCTCTCTTCTGTGTGCAGTGACGAAATATTCCTTTGTTGATTGTCATGTCGTGCTCACACCACGGCTTTGTCGCAAATGCATATACAAGCCCCATAAATATATTTAATAAGAGCGATCTAATTAGCAATTGCAGCCATCTCTGCTGCTATATTCGCCTCAAAGGTGTATATCGTTATGTTCCAGTGGCACAGATGCCGCATGCCTTCAAGTTTGATCAGATAACCTCAATCTAGAAACAAGGACAAAAAGGATCAGTGCACCAGTCGTAGAATAAGTTTATTTGTTCGGCTGTTATTAAATGTAGCTGAACTGATGCAGTACAGAGCCATTTGCTAATTTTGATTTTTTTTTTAACAAGGCATTGTTCACGTTAATTCTCAATAGAAATCTGTTTGTGTCCGCAGCCTTATTTGGGTGAGTGAGCGTGTTGTATGTGTGCCCGTGTTGTGTGTTTTGCTTGATGTCTGAGTGGTGATTGCATGTGTATGCCTTTACGTATGCTCACCTAGCAGAAACATAATTGAAGTAATACAGTAATAGCCTTTTATGTAATTTTGAGTGGTACATTATTGGCATATTGTAAATACAAATACGCTGTGGTTACTGCCTAAATTTAGGCAATGCCGCACGCTTGAAACTGGAAGAGTATAGGGTTGTCCACACAAGACCGAGGTGGGTGTTTTGGCTTCTGGGACTGCATGCCTCGCAAAACCACCACCGGAACTGCAAAACCGAAGGTTGCATTAAAAAAAATGTTGATGTGATGACGGACGCACAAGTCGACTTGGTAGCTCTGCGTGTAGTGACGTCCACAGGGTACTGTGTGATGCAACTGGTAACCGACTCTCACTTTATGCAATTCCTTCAACAGATCGATGATCCTACGTCATCATTGTCGATGGCACGTCTCATTAAGGTACATCCCAAACGCGCAATAGCAGCCTTGTTCGTTTCATCACCGGAGTTGCACCGCCACTCAGCACACCCGAAGCTTGTCCAAAACAGCCGCTTTGTTACGGAGTAGGGCGGCCGCTGCTAACACAATTTAACCAGCGAGAGCTGGTAGGCATGGCCAATGAGCTAGTTCCTGTGGTGAGCTGGGGTGCCCGGGCAGTGCAGTGCGGTGCCACTGGGTAGCATGTGGCGGATTGTGCCATCCACGCCACCACGCCTGCACTAGACACTTGTGTGTTCGGTTGCTCGTCAGACTGCCAACATCGCCGAAGCCAATGCGTCAGAAGAGGACAAAATCAAAGCCGTGATGAACCAGTCTGGCCAGGATTACGATCCCGTGAAGTAAGCAATTGCAAATGCTTGTTTACATTTCTCACACCTCTCTTCGATTTGTCTCGGGGAATGTGTCGAGTGGCCAGCTGTGTTTGAAACTATTCTGTCTCCACAAACAGCTACGTGAAAAAGTCGCAAGGCCCTCCGCCATCCTCCTACACGTGCTACCGGTGTTTGAAGCCAGGCCACTACATCAAGAATTGCCCGCTGAACGCGGTATGTGATGGCGTGGCAGCGCTAGGACTGATGAACTGAGTTTGGTTTTGGTCATCAACATGATGCTTTAACCTTTTGGTCATCAATATGATGCTCTAACCTTGCAAAGCAAATGCACGAATGTGTCTTTTTTACAGATTAGAAGAGTTTGTTTTTTGACAGGATTCTATGTTGAAATCAAAAATGATTCTCGTGGTCTGCTTTTCAGCCAGATGAGTGGTGACCTACAAGTGTAGCAGCAAATGTGACTTAGTGGGAGCCATCTTTTGTACTATTGACTTTATTGATATGTTGGCAAAAAGGCAGTTGGTAGCTATAGTTTATAGAAACTGTTATGCTCCTTTTCATGTAATTATTTTCGGCTATTCCAACAATGAAATTAAAATGGGTGTCCGCCAACACAATTGACATGCTAGGCATTGAATGCGAAGACTTGAAGTGGGCAATGCATCATATAAATGTTAGATGATTGCTTAAAATCAATGTATACAATAGCTTTATATGCATTGAATTATAAAAGTCAGAATACGGTCCAAATTTTTATTGCAGTTGGGTTCATTGGAAACTTTGAAATCTGTGTTTTGCTTCAGCCACAACGGCAAAACAAATCTGTGAATCATATAAAGCCGAGCCGGGATCTAGACAATGCATCGAAACGTGGAAGGGGGTGAATTGTTGCCGGCGCAGCTCGTGACGTGTGTGTGTGTGTGTGTACGTGGCGTGTGCAGCAGGACAAGAGCTATGAAGCATTACCCAGGCTCAAGAAGAGCACCGGCATCCCACTCAGCTTCATGACCGAGGTCAATGACCCCAGTATCAAGGGTGCCATGCTCACCAACACGGGGAAGTACGCCGTGCCCACCATCGACGCGTGAGTGCTTCACAGTCGCGCACGTTCACGCTCAGGAGTGGCAGAGAGGGTTGGCGTCTGTCCAGTGTGGCTATGAAGTATTAGAATCAGTTCCGTATTCCACAAGCTGGTACGAATTTGCAGACGTGATTACTTGCATTGAAGACCCCATGAATTTGCGATCTGAAGGCTTCCTGGTTATGAATATTAGGTTGTGTATTAGAAGCTATTAATAGCTAGGGAGGGCAGTGCACAGGCTCAAAAATGCAGGGGATGAATGCTTGCCTGGGCTGAGGTGTACACGAAGGTACCCTTACCCTATTTGTATTTTTTATTTTTAGATTGTATCTTATAGCTATTTTATATTCGATATTTATTAAATTTTATATACTTTAGCCCCTTGTTGTTAGTTAGACTTTGAACCCTTATTATAGTAAGACTTGTTTACCACTTATTTAAGATTTTACATTCCTATATGTTGAATATATGCACCATCCTGCCAAAGTAAATTCCGTGTCTGTGTGAACTTTCATGGCGAATAAAACCCTTTCTGATTCTGATTATGCTCACATGTAGGCATTGCATTTTCTGCCAATGAAACGGTGCATGGTGCAATATTGTGCAGTGGTATTTCTCGCCATCTAGTGCTGCGGGTTAGTGTATCGTTGATTAATCATTGGAAGATTGCCAATTAATACCCATTTGGGTGGTGATTTGACTCATTCCCCTGGGGTCAATTAAATGAGCACCATTTTAGGGAGGTCAGCTGTGATAGTCGTGATTAAGAAAGTAAGCTATGTCACCCTTAAAGTTATTGAAATCCCACCAATTTTCATACCTTTATAAGTTCTCAATCATCACATGCTGTATAAGTTCTCAGTCGTCATAAGCTAATAAACACATGCAATGCAATGTAACTGGTGTTTGGCCAACATCCCATTGCTGAAAATGTATCTGCAAATTACTCCATTGGGATTACGCATTGCAATATTTTCCACTTCTGCAATACACTTGGCAGAACCCTCCTGTAATAGTCCTGAGACTCAAGTGAGGCCTTTCTGGGTTAACAAACAATTATTAATAAAGTTAATGAAGCTACAAATTTCTGTTTGAGAAGTTAGATTGGGATACCAAGCTGTTGATTAGTGTTCTCCAATTTCCATTTACAATTTGTACACAGCATCGAATTGCAGCTGTATCTCAGGATGCTGAAATGCTGTTGGAAATTGAAGTTGTTTATATTTTTCAGAGCAAAGTGTGAATGAACTTGGCATAACGATTCACCACTGAGCTCTTCGACGAAGTATGAGAATTTAGGGTTGTGATTCAATCCAAAGTCAATTATTTGTTGTCTCGTGTGTTTTCTCTGTTAATGTAAACATACCATACGCGAATGTAATTTGACTGGTTTAAAAAAAAGTCATAAATATTCGTGCATGCGTTGGTTACTGCAGCCAGGCATACGCTGTGGGGAAGAAGGAGAAGCCCCCGTTTGTCACTGAGCAGTCGTCCTCGTCATCGGACGAGGACCCCATCCCGGACGAGCTGCTCTGCCTCCTGTGCAAGGACCTCATGGTGGACGCCGTCGTCATCCCTTGCTGCGGAAACAGCTACTGCGACGATTGTGAGTGGTGGCGCGGTGATCGCGCACTCCCTTCCAGGCTCCACAGTTACCCCATGGGACAAAATATTTATCGGAACTATTTCAGAGCAGTGCATTACCCCCCACCGTTTCTAAGAGCCCATGGAAGAACATAATCACAACTACTTCTAACATGCATTCAAGTGACCTCTTTACCACACTTTTGTGATGTACATTCCCACATACCCTACTTCAGAGAAGTACATCGTATGGTGGTCAAACTGAAATGTTTAATTCTCAGATCTGGAATTTTACTTAATTTAAAGAATATAGATTTCATAAAAATAGATATGAATCACGGTCAGGCCTGTCATTATAGCACTGTAGTGAAGGCTATTGAGAGAGCACAGCATATGTCCTTCCATCATTGTCAAATGGGGGCAAAACATGGACTCTAGGGAGGCAGCTGGTCACCATTGTTGGCTCATGTTACCAACTCCATGCAGTTCTTGCAGCATGCTCGGGAAACTGGGTGCAAATTCAAACCAGGATCTCACATCTTTACCTGCGTAAATGCAGGTAACGCCATTCAGCCCACTGACCATTTTTCCGTTGCAGGTGTTCGCACAGTGCTGCTCGACTCGGAGGATCACACGTGCCCTACGTGTCACCAGAGTGACGTCTCGCCCGATGCGCTCATCGCCAACAAAGTATTGCGCCAGGTGAGTGTTGCGTGAGTGCGTTACAGTACGTGGAGGGCCCTGCTTTGTCTACGTCGGGGGCATAGGTGCTACTGCTGTTCATCTCACCCATAACACCTGGATCTGTCTCATGACCTGCACGTGAACCTTCGATAATTTTCGTGGCCTCAGTGCAGCTAGCCTGGCACAAGCCCTGTGGTAACGTCACTGGCACTTAGTGGTGAATGGCGGCTTTGTTTTTTTTGTATATGTCGGAGGGCGCCGTGGCAAAGAGAATAATACACTGCTAGGAACCCATCGACCTGGGTTGGGATCCCAGCCATGACTAAAGTCGGTGGCAATAATATCTGAACTGGCCCTTGCACCTCAGCTTGTTTGACTCAACCTTAATTGAGTACCTGGTGCAGTGTGTAAACATGAGCACTGGAGAGCCAAAGGAGGCCAGACATGTTGGCCACATCGCTCCCTCGTGCACTTTGCCAATCTTCCTAGATGCTCACAAATGGCATTTGCCCCATCAGCCTGTAGGCTTTATGGGAGATGTTTTTGTGTGTATGTCTACATGTGTACGTACTAATCTGAACGTATGTATGTGGATGTTTACCCTCAGGCCGTCAACAACTTTGGGAATGAAACCGGATACATCCGAAAGATGAGGCGGCCTGGCCTTCAGGGCAAGGGTGGCCAGGCGGCCGTAGCCTCTGCAGCCCCACCAGTCAACCAGACGTCCCAGCCGGGGAGGCTGCCAGCTGGTACAGGAGGATTGCCTTCTTCGGCAGCTCCAGCAACCGTGTCCGTGGCGTCCACCACTGCTGCTGCCAGCAGCAGCAGCAGCGCGTCCTCCGGAGCAGTTACTGCCAGCGCTATGGACAGCGATAAAACGTGAGTCCTTGGTGTCTTTGAATCTCTCGGCTGTTACCCCTTGTTCATTGCCTTTTATCATAACCAGGTTAAGGAGCCCATGCATAGAGGTGTATGCTTGGATTTATTACTTCACCTGGTATACAGGAGGTTGTGGGCGTGATCCCGACCCTGATGCCTGTATTTTTCGAGTTTTACATGTTCTCCTCGTGGTCACATGGATTTTTTTCTCCGGTTCCTCCCTCCACATTCAGAAACATGCGTTTAGACTATTTGGCTGCTCTAAATTTCCACATGATAAGCCACTTTGTTGAGCTATCATTTGTGGCCAGGTTGCTTCTGAAAAAGACTATATAGCTCAATGGTCCTTACCTGTTAAAATAAATAGTAATAGCACATTGGTCAGAGAACATACGTAAGTTATATGCATTATATTTACTGTCAAGTAAAGTGCGCTTGAGCGTGACACGTCACGACACCAGCACGTGGAAGGTTGTTAATTGAAATGTTGGTTGGGAGTAGACACGGGTCATCGTTTTTTCATGGTTGGTAAATCGAGTACTGCTTTACGAGAAGTTCCAGGGTGGTTGTGCTTTGATGGAGAATGAACCTTACCATTAAAATGTGGGAATTTACATTTGAGTAGGGAGACTCGCTGTGACTTTGACGTTTCACGCTTAAGTGTTGTTGTGACCCAGCGATGTGGACAGAGGCCGCCTTGGCTCTGCAGCTTCTGCGGGGCCTGCTGCCGCCAACAGCATCTCCCACAGTGCATCAGATCGCAAGGTAATAATCTCAGTCACGTTACATGGTACACAGTGACATTGTTTTATACGCATGGACATTTAAGTAGTTCACACCTTTCCATGGAGACCAAAGTGGATAAATTATGAGGCTCCAGTGAACGTGCAGGTTTGCTAGGGCTCGCATGTTTCTATGGGTTTTCTCTTCAATGGTATGTGGTCTATGTAATTCACATCATCGTACATCCTTAAAAATATGAATGGTGCAGAGTGTTACGTGCACCGTGCTACAATCTTAATCTTCTTTTCAGTTCCAGACTGTGTGGCAGAACTTCAGTGCAAAAAATTAGGTAAACCTGTCTTAGCCCTTCCCAATATCAACTCAGCCATAAATAACTGGTGTAGTGTCTAAACATCAACACTGGGGAGGAAAAAAGGCGGCTCTGTGTAGGCGTTGATGGTTACACCATCCTCTTGTATGCTGCGCTGGCGTTATAGGTTACGAACATGTCCCTGTGGTCTCTAAGGCGAAATGAGGGATTACTTTGTGTGTTCTTTGTACAGTTGTCCATGGTTGTGCACCATGGGCCCTCTGGACAGGGACTGGCTCACCACCAAACCATGACGTACACTGCAGGTAAATGGGCCCCGGGTAGTCGTACGGAGCAGTGAGACACAGTTTCCGTACCGCTGGGTGTTACTGAATGTTTTTTTTACAAGCGATTTTAAAACTGAGGGTTTTGTGCTGCAGAGGAGCACAAACACAAATTATATATATAAAAAAAACTTGGCTCGTTCCTGTTTAACCTTGCCTTAAAATAGTGAACACCAGAGTAAATTTGTTATGAACACTGCCTTAAAATAAAAGGGGGTTATTTCACTAACTTATGCAAACGGTCGCCGATGTCCCTTATTATTAAGGCTCTCACCTGGTATAAATTGAGGAACTGACTGAGTGTAATGTAATCTGTTTAGTGCATCACAGCAGACCAGGCATGACCATGTTGGGCTCCGTCCCAGCCCCTTCCAGGCTTGGGTAAGTTTGACTGCATCCCGTACACTGATAAACTAATTTATATTTATAGAGCGCCTTCACTCAAGGTATATTTTACAAAGTTGTGAAAGAATGGAATGATGTAGTTGACAGGGGTGTCAAAGGTTCAAGAATGAGTGACAGCGATAGAGGGTACTTATGGATCACGAAAGGGCAGGAGAGGAATGGGAAGGAGTGAAGGACTGAGGGAAGGGGAAGATAATTTTCCAACGAAAGAAGAGGTAAGTTTAAGAAGGGGAACTACTTAATGTACAAGGGAAGTTTATTCTAGTGGAGGGGTATAAGGAGAGAGAAGGACTGAAAACAGAATTGTGCACAGGGAGAAGGAGGGACAGAGAGAGACGATGATGGGGAACGAAGAGGAAGAGAGGAGGGGACATGGAAGGAGATGAGAGAGGCGAGACCATGAAGAGATTTAAAGATGAGCGTCAGGTATTTGAAAAGACAGCATTCTAGCAAATGTGGAAGCCAGTTGAGTTGAAAGAGAGTTGAAGTGTGGGAATTAAAGGGGAGCTTGAAAATCACTTATGCAGAAGCATTTTTAATTTGTTGGAGGGGAGTGAGGGCGCAGAGGCAGGGAGACCAAGAAGACGAGCATTGCAATAGTCCAGATGGCTAAAGATCAGAGAATAAACCAGGAGTTTATCAGCAAACATTTTAATGAGAGGGTGGGTTTTCCTGTTTAACAGATGAAAGCGGCAGATGCGAGGGAGTAGTGGAGATGTTGGTGGAAAAAGTGAGTCGAAGGTAACATCAAGGTTGAGGGCATAGGAAAGAGGAGTAAAAGAGAGAGGAGGGAAGGAGATGGTTGGGACTGGAGGAGGAGAGCGAGAGGCTGGAAAGAAAATGATTTTTGGAAGGATTGAGAGAGAGAGAAAGTAAAGCCCCATTAGTATCGAATGGCAGCCAGGCAGGAGGAGATACGAGAGGAAAGGTCAGGGGTAAATTAAGGAAAGGAAAAGAAGATGTGGGTATTGTCAGCAAATTAATTATGAGGAAAGCAGAAATATAGTGATTGAAGGAGAGAGGAAGTATGAGAAAAAATCTGAGACTTGAGCCAGGAGAGGGTGTGGGGGCAGAGATGCCAGGGTCGGAAAGTGTGGGGGAAATAAGTGGGGTAATCAATAGTGTCAAAGATGAAGGAAAGGTCAGGAAGAATGAGAATGTAAGAAAGGCCGGCCTGGAAGGAATTTTTAAGATGGTTCGGGACATTGAGAAGGGCTGTTTCAGTGAAACGAAGAGTGCGAAAACTGAACTGAAATTGAAGATGCAGACAATCTGAATAATGTGGAGTGAGAGACGGTTATGGAAAAGACGTTATAAAATTTTAGAGAAGTAAGGCAGACGAGAAATAGGGTGATTATTGCCAGGAATATTAGTCAAGGAAATGTTTTTTCAAGAGTGGAAGAATTAAATAATAGATTTGAAATTAGAGGGGAAATGCACCTTTGGAAAGGTAGGAGTTAAAAGGAATACAAGGTAGTTAAGGATAAAGGGGAGGAGTTTGTAAGGAACAAGGGAGGCAGGATGGGGTCAAGGGTGGAAGAGGTGGGGTTAGTTTTGGAAATGACCATGGATAGCTCCAGATGAAGATGTAGGGGTGAAGGCGGAAAGAGGAGGTACCCAGGTGGCGACAGTGTCTCGAGCATTGGTCTCTTTTAAGATGCCAAGTTCACAAAGGCTGACAAAGGGGACAAGGCAGGGGCTGGGTAGAGCGACAGAGGCTGAGAACGGCCCGCAGAAGGGAAACGGCCAACATTTTGGTGGATTGTTTGTTCTTTTGAGACCTGACGTGCCTTGCAGCACGCAGCAGCCGAGCATGCCTTGTGTTTCCCGCATGCCCGGACGGTTGCAGGCCTCCGCTGAGGATCGTCCCATCCAACGTTGAGAGGCCCATGTTGCCTCGGATGCCGCAGGCCTCCCTCCCGATGGGCCTCACGCCGCAGACGATGTACCAGCACCTCTTGCCACCCGCACACTACCAACAACCGCCCCCCATGGCCCTCCCGTCAAATTTGCCGCCACCGCTCGGCTACCCGCACTACCTGCCGCCGGGACAGCACATGGTGCCGCCGGGCTACGGGCTACCTCAGCAGCCTAACGCGAATGCATACCAGTCGCACGTTCAGGGAATGATGCCCGTGATGCCGCAGTGGGGTACCCCCATGGTGCCACCACTCCCTGGGCCCCTTGTCGCGCCAGGCACCGTGGTGACGGCCCCCAGCGCCCCAACCCCGCCGATGCTTAGCAAGGAGGAATTCTACCGCGAACAGCGGCGTCTGCTGGAGGAGTGCGTGTTCACACCTGCTACCGTCATCACTCTTTTTTTTTCTAAAGACATATCTCGCTATACATCCTTTTAACTGGTAGTAGTGAGTTTAAATATCGATTGTGGGTTAATTCGGCCCAGCACAGTCTCCCTGCTGCGGTTTTAAAAACGAGCACTACCTGTGGGCAGCCACTGTTGGCGTCACAGCCTAAAAAATATTTTTTACCCAGTTGGAAGACTCGGCCAATTTCCGCTCTGTTTTCTTAAACAGCAGTTCCCAACCTGTGGTGCACGAAACCCCTGGTGGTCTGCGAGGCAAGGGGTTCGCGAAAAATAAAAATTATAACATCCTAGAAGATTGCATTATTACCATTGCACAAGCATAATTTATTTGCTGATAATATCCGAATCTTATTTTCCTTTCCTTAATTTACCCCTGACCTTTCATTTCGTATCTCCTGCCTGGCTGCCATCCGATCCTCATGGGGCTTTACTTTCTCTCAATTCTTCCAAAACATTTTCTTTCCAGCCTCTTGCTCTCCTCCAACTTTTATTAAATTTACTACATTTTGTTGCCTCGTGAATGGAATTGTGTGAAAAATTGATTTTGGTTTATTCCCACTATATGCAAATTATATGGTTAATGTTGCATTTAGGCTTACAAAATTGAGCAAGCAAAAAAAAAATACAAAGCTGACGGTTACAATCAGTATAGAATCTCAATTATTTGAAAATAATTGTAACCCCTGAATCTTTATGAGTCAAAATCAATATGGAGGTGAATAATTATGTGGCTGTTTATAATGGCCTGATTAATTTCCCATGCGTACACTCCACTTTCCAGAGAGAAGAAGTCAAAACTGGATGAGATGACCGACGATTTTGCCAAGCAGCTGCTAGAGTACAAGAAGATACAGCGCGACCGGCGTAGGTCACTGTCCAGGTACGGGGCTGATGCCACACTTAATTTCTGCCACGCGCCACTCTTTGACGGTTTTACGGTAGCAGGGTGTGTGTTCGGGATGTTACACACAATCGGTCCTTGAGTCCAGACCAGATATTTCACTTTTCAGTGCCACCTAAGGTGGCAGCATAACTTTATTGTGGCCAACAATAATGATTCACGAAAACATTTTAAAATAAGTGGGTCATCAAATAATCCACTCTTTGCTTTAAATTGAGTGCTGCTAATATTTGGTATCAATTTCTGCTCAGCCCATTAAATGTAACATCGGTTAATGTCGATTCTTAATCCTCATGATACATGGCTTGAACTCTGCAGATTTAGGCATAGGTATATCACATTAGATATTGCATCACGATGAATTCACATCACTAGAGGTTTTATAGATTGAGCAAGTGAGATGCAGAAAAATGAGGAAATCTCGTTCGTTGGGTTTGTCCTCGGAATTATTTGATTAGCAATAAAAACGTTAACTGTCCAGCCGCACAAGAAGTTGACGTCACAGCCCATGATGCATTGTCACAGGATGATGTTATACGCGTCATGACATGGGGAGGCATGGTGCACGTGACATCATCGCTCTTTGGCTAAAATGTCTTATCCATTTCGAGCCGTATTTTTCTTACGCTAAGTTTTAAAAAACCCTTTTCTGATTTGGCTGGTGTTCTTTAAGGTATGTCCCTAATAGCAATCAAAATGTTGTACTTTTTTTTTTCTTATGGCAGGATTGAAAATAAACAGTTGTGAAAGATGTTATAGTTTGCCATTTTTCTCTCAACCAATCCAAGTAGGCAGCCGTAGACTGTGGATTGCAGCAACACCACCAGGATCTCACTGGATGGTGCAATCGTCAGTGATGTGTTTGATTTGGACTTCACCACAGCACAGCGATTCTTTGGCCTTCCATTTGTGGAAGGTGTAAGCACATCTCCCATGTTTATCTTTAACCAAAAGTTTAATGTATCTTTACGAGTGCTATGGTGACCCAATATTACAGATAGACTGAGCTCATTCATGTTGGAAAGCATAAAATAAAGATTTGATTCGCAACTTGCGTCTTTAAATCATTACAGTCGTTATAATTCTAATATTTATGGTCCGGAGACGCTGTGTATGCAGATGACTGAGTATGTGAGAAACGGTTTCGGACTAATGCTATCTGAACATATTGTGGCCTTCGCTGAGTACCTAATGTGGTGTGTAGACAGCGCGGTGGAAAAAGAGGTGGTTCTGTACTGTGCTGACATTTATAGTAGTTGCTATATTATAGCTTTTGTCATTGTTATTTGAGTATTGGAGTGGAGCGGTGGCACATTGGTTAGCGCATTGAACCTTATGAGTTCGATTCCCAGTCATGGCTAAAATCAGCGGAAATTGATATCTGAATCTTTCCTGGGCACTCCGTTCACTAACCCGCACTCGATAATTTGTTGAAATATGGCCAAACAAACTCGACGAGCAACTCTGTCGGAAGGCAGTTATCCTGCAGTGGATTGAAAAGCAGTGCTATGCATGTGCATGAGAATTAATGGGGAATGTATCTGTGTGTGTGTCTGTGCGCTGCAGGTCGAGGTCGCGGTCCCGCTCGCGCTCCTACTCCCGCTCCTCGTACTCGCGAAGTTCATACTCGCGGTCCCGGTCCCGGGCTCGCTCCCGCTCCCGCTCTCGCTCGCGCTCGCGCTCCCTTAGCCGCTCGCGCTCTCGCTCGCGTTCCCGCTCGCACCGCTCGTACTCTCGCTCGCGCTCCTACTCACGTTCCCGCTCGCGCTCCCCGGCCTACGGGCGCCGGCGGGGCGGGCGTACGTACCGCTCTCGCTCGCGCTCCTTCGCCCCGTACCGCTCTCGTTCCCGCTCGCCCCCGCCGCCCCGGCACGGAGCCTACCGCTCCCGCTCGCGCTCCATGGGGCCGTCCGGCTTCCGCCCACCGCCCATGCTGAGGGGCGGGCCTCCTCGGGGGGGCCCCGTGCGGGGTGAAGTGAGGGGTGATGTGAGGGGTGATGTGAGGGGAGGGGGCCTCCGAAGAGGAGGTGGTCCGCGCGGGGGTCCCCCTCGGGGTGGTTACCGGCGGCCGCCGCCACCGCCGGGGCAGTACGACCGCGCGTACTACGAACGCTACCATGACTACTACGAGCAGCGTGCGCACGAAGCGCGCAACGAACCCTACAACCGTGAGATGCGCGAGTGGGAGCGAGAGTACCGCGAGTGGTACGAGCAGGTCAAGGACTACTATGGCGACTCATTCCCGGGCCGCCGCTCACGATCTCGGTCTCGCTCCCGTACGCCACCCACCGCCGGTCCTGGCCCCGGCCTGGGTCCGGGACTAGGCTCGGGCCCTGGTCCGGGGGGCACGGTGCCCCCGGGGGGACCCACTCAGCAGGGCGGGGGTCCTCCAGGCAGCGGCCCCCTGCCACCGGGCGGGAGCGGAGTGGTACCTGGCAGTGGTGGCGGTGGCGCTGTGCATCGCGACCGCTTCTTGGAGCTGCCGGAGCACTACTCGGGGCTTGTGCCGCACAATCAGCTGATCCGACGTGAGCGATCGCCACCATTTCCGCACGGCCGGCGAGGGGACCATGGCCCCGAGGCTGCTGGGCGAATGGGTGCTTTGGGAGGCGGAGGGAGGAGTGGGCCATCCAGCATGATGCGTGGCGGAGTGGGGGGCGGACCGATGCTCCCCGGGCGTGGAGGGGGCGGAATGGGCGGAATGGGCGTCCTTGGTCCCATGAGGGGTGGAGTAGGCCTGCCTGGTCACCTTTGTGGGGGGGGCATGGGAGGGAGGGGAGGAGGGGGTGGGGGCAGACTCTTTCATGCAGAGCCCCTCATGTTTCGTGATGGACGTCTGTGCAAGGGCCCGCTGCTCCCCCTGCCCTCCCTGCTGAAGCCGCCGATGGCACCCCCGGGACAGGGAGAGGTGCCCAAGCTAGTCAAACCGCTCATGGAGCCGCCCAAAGTCATCAAGCCACTGATGGAAGTGACAGTGCAGGTGGCGCGTGAAAAGTCTGGTATGACTATGATCGGTAGTGGTGGTAGTGGGGGGGGCGGTGGTGGTGGTGGGGGTGGTGGTGGGGGTGGTGGTGGGGGGAGTGGCAGTGGGGGTGGCATCGGATCCAGTGGGGGAAGTGGAGGTGGTGGTGGTGGTGGCATAAGTGGTGGTGGAAATGGCAGTGGAGGAGTTGGTGGCAGTAGCAGCAGTAGCAGCAGCAAAAACAAGAAACATCACAAGCGCCGGAGTGGCCGAGACGGAGAGGGCAGTGGCACCGACGCTGGAGGCGGCGGTGGTGGTGGTGGTGGTGGCGGTGGTGGTGGTGGCAGCAGCAGCAGCAAGCACGGGCGGTTGTCACGGGGAGACGGCCGCCGCTCAGGAGATGGGCACGGGGACAGCAGGGGTGGTGGTGGGGGAATGCTGCTGGCACCAACCAGCCGAGATGCTACACCCGTGCGTGATGAACCGATGGACGAACGTAGCTACAAATCATCCTTTGACCGGGAAAGAGAACGTGACCGGGAACGTGACCGAGACCGCGACCGGGACCGCGACAGGGACCGCCGGGACAAGCAGCCCAAGTCAAAGTCGGACAAGTCCAAGCGCAAAGTGAGCAGTGAGTCATCGAGGAAAGATCGATCAGGAGCTTCGGGCAGCCAAGACAAGTACTCGGAAAGGTCGTCTGCCAAACCATTTGACAAGGAGGTGGAGAAAGACAAGAACAGCTCTGGCTCGCGGCGGGAGGACACCCATTATAAAAGCGAGAACTCGCGATCGCAGCTAGCGCCAGCTGTGAAGGGGGAGCGCTCCGACACAGGCAAGAAGATGGGAGGGCGTTATGAACGCGAGGGGCAAACAGTTAAGCATGGCTCAGACGATGTGCGCAAGGAGCACCACGCACCCAAGAGCGACAAGACCAAGAGCAGCAAGGACAGTGATAAGAAATCTGGCGCCATCACGGAGGATGTGAAGGCAGTGAGGGGCTCAAAGCCCGACGCCAAGGCAGGAGATGGAAAGTCTGAAAAGCGCAAACGCTCACCGGAGGAGAGAAGCGCGTCATCCAAGGAGGCAGTGGTGGGGGCGGCTTGTGGCCCAGGGTTCCAGGGAGGCCCGGAGAAGGCCCGTGGCCCCACTGGGGAGGCAGGTGAAAGGCTGAAGGGCTCTGTTGTTGCTGACGCACCGCAGCCGAAGAAGATCAAGATCAACCGTGACACGGGGCGCAAGCTCTCCAGCTCAGCTGAAGGGGCACCACCGACGGACGGCGCCTCCGAGGGGAAGGAGAAGAACCGCAGCGCCAGGGCAGTGGTGGCGGCAATCGATAAGTCCAGGTAAGCGCCATCATGTTCTTTAAAACTTCAAGCGTCTCCCCAACCCAGCACGCCCCAGGGTGGCGCGCATATCTGTTGGTCGTTTGATTAATGTGGATAGTTCGTATTCCTGTGTCAAATGTTATTTTTTTTAACGTACAACGACCGCTGTTGACTTCCCAAAAAGTAAGTCGTCTTTCTCACTGACCTTGGAGGGATATGATTGGCTTGAGTCAAGTTGACCAGGGTTTTTGAGCTTATCACTTTGTCGTTGGAGCACTTTTAACCCAGCTTGGGTTGAACACCGAGGCCATAAACACTACATGATCTAAGTGAGGCAGGTGTCTCTGTGATGGGCCATTGCTCAATGGTAGGTTAAGAGAAGTGAACACGCAAGAGTTGTGGATTTTTTAAAAGTATATTGAGATCAATACAGCATTAATGCTTGTAATTGTTTATAGGGCATAATAATTAGGTTGCATGAAATTATTTCAAGAAAAATCTGTGGCACATTATGAAGCAACACAATGCTGTTTTTGACGTTGGTGTTTCACCCGGCGTATTCAGGTTTCTCCATGGTAAGTGTCTTGGTTTGACATGTTTTTGTTGACTTGTGCTAAAGAGTAGCACTGATACAACTTTGAGTGATACATGTTGGTTATTAAAGGGTTTGTAACTGAATAACTACAAAACAGTAACTTCATCTAACAATGTGAAAACTGTTCATTCAGAAACATTTTTAAAATGTAATTGTTATCAGGCCTCATGTTGTAAAGTGCAGTCTTCTAACGTATATCCACTGTCTCTGTTCTATGAAGACGGGCCATTTTCCGAAATGTCGCCTATTATATATATTTTCCCTTGTTAGGCAATGTTATTGATGAAAGTTGGTAGTTTTGGCATGTAACAATTCACCTTGTGCATTATTATTAGATGAACTGTCACAAATCTACCTCGATGTGATACTTGATTCCTCTTTTGTCGCAATCTACAGCAGCTACATAATTTGCATGAACCTTTATGGTTGCCATCAACCAGTTTCATACAATATTGTGAGTTGAAAGTAATCGATTCTCACATGTGCAGTTTGATGCGTTATATTGTGACCATAATAGCATGTATTTAAAAGCATCTAACTACATGAGCATCTCAAGATGCCATGCAAGGAAACCATGTGAACAGAAATTGTTACCACAAATACATTGAAAGTGGATGATGAATGCATAAAGCATTACATTAAGGTGTTCTTCAATGGGAGAGTACATATGCTTGTGTAAATGAAGGGTGCTTGTGTGTGCTTGCCCATGCGTGAAACTGCAACAGTGGAGACAGCAGCCCGTGCAGGCATGAGGACGTTGCTGCTGCGGCGAGGCGTGTGGTGGTGAAGACTATCGAGGAGTTCAACAACGACACAACGGCGCCAGCGGCCGATGAGATCGTCATGATTCACATCCCACGTTCTAAGTGGGAGCGTGACGACTGGGAGCCTGACGAGGAGCCGCAGCGCAGGGCTCCCGGTGCCGTGGGCACCGCTGTCTCTGGGCTCAACCAGGGCCGTCCAACAGGGGGGGCGCTGCCCCCGTCGCGAGCGAGCGGGCCTTCCACTGGTGGCCTAAAACCCACCGAAGAGTCCGTGGTGGTAACAGTAGACAGGATTCCTGGGAGTGGTGTGAGGGTTCTTCCCGCCGAGGCCATCAAACAGGAGGTGGACGTAGGTGATTGCAAAGGCACTGAGGGTGGCGAGCGAGTTAGCCAGCCTGGTGGTGTGGATGCAGTGCCTGCCCTGCAGGGTGGTAGGGGGTCCAGCGAAGCACTACCCGAGGACCAACAGCAGGACGCGGCCAAGGATGTTGCCGAGAAGCTATCCTCTGGTCACAGAGATGACCATGGGGACTCCAGATCCGGCTCCAAGGAGCTTGAGAGAGAGACTGATAGGATGAAGGTGTCCAGCCATGATGGCAGGGACCGGCAGCCCGAGGGGGTGGTGATAAGCGGCAAGGGCTCCGATTTCAGTGACGCAATAGTGACCGATGAGGGACAGGAAGCCGAGCGGAGGCACGATGTTGGCCACGTCGACCGGGCCTTACCTCCCCATACGGAAGAGCACGGAGACAACCCTGCCAGGAGCAAGGAACCAGCAGAGCAGGGGAAGAGGATGACGGCACACGCTGCGGAGAAAGTGGAAGGTGCCGAGGGGAGCAGCAAACTGGGCTCAGCCGTGGCAGAAACGACTGAGGGATTGGAGAAGCTGGCAAGGAGGGACGGCGCATCCGCCAATGGGGGGCACAAGGGCAGCCCGGATGGCAAGAGGAGGGCACAGCCAGAGGAGGGGGGCAGGCCCGAGCGCAGTGGCAAGGGCCGGCCGCGAGAGGGGTCGACACAGGAGCTGAGCCGTCTCGACGAGGCCACGTTTGAGCCCGATTACAATGAGACCGAGAGTGACAGTAGCTCGGAGAGCGAGGATGGGAGGGGAGGCGGCAGGGATGGGAGCGGTGGGGAGCGCGGGGTCACGGGGGTGCGGCGCAAGCGTAGTGCCAGTCCGGGTGGCGGAGGCAGCCCCAGCTCGGGTAGCCTAACTCAAAAGCGTCGCAAGAAGGAGCGCAAGAAGCACAAGAAGCGCAAGCGAGGCCGCAAACACAAACGGCAGCACGTGGGAACCGACTCGGGCAGTGACCGGAGCCACAAGCACAAACACAAGCGGAAGAAATCAAAGAAAAACAAAGATCGAGAAAAGGAGGATGTAGAAAAGGACAAAAAAGATAAAGACAACAAGGAAAAGGAAAATAAAGACAAGGACATCAAGGACAAGGAACGGGACAAGAAGGAAAAGGACACCAGGGAGGAAGTGGAGAAAGCCAAGCGGGAAAAGAGGGAGCGCGAAGAGGCGCAGCCCGTGTGAGCGCCGAACCGTCGTCTCTTGCACTGTAAATACATTTTTTTTTGCGTTTGGGAGGCCAGGCCCTGTCGCGCGGGAATGCGCAGTGCCGTGCAGTCAATGTCGGATATCTACGCTTGAGTCAAGTGGCCACGGTTGTGTAGATTGAGCAAATTGGCACCTCTCTTTGCGTTGTTGTAAGGCTGTTTTCTTTAGGTTTTTAAAATAAATTTCACTTCCCTCATGTGCGTTCAAAATAATAATCTTAATTTGCGAAGTATTGCGGCAGTCTCATCTGAGGGCATTTAATCCGTCTCGGTTGCCGGAGAAAAAAAAGCCCCTTGCGTTTAATGCGCATTACTAGTGGGTCAGAATTATTGACCACCACCTCTACCCTGGGCTCTTTGTGTGCTCATTTACTGTAGGTGGTGGTGTCTGTGCTGTAATTGCTGCGATTTCCCAATAAAGTGAGAGATTTTTATTTTGCACCTCACCTGTAGCCCTGCTTTGTTTTGCGTTGTTGGCAATGTCTGCAGGTCTGGTTCATTTAGTCTTGTCACATCACCCATTTGGTACCAGTACAGATGCCGCGAGAGAACTATTAAGCATCTGTTTAGTGACCACTCACTTTCATGGAGGTCTGTTGGCTAACACCTGCATTCACTTTTATTTGAGATCCGTTAGCTGAAGCAACCTCAATTCACGTTCTTCCATATCAGCTAAAGCGATCTCCATTAACTCGAATTGATGTGTTTTGCAAAGCAACATCCATTGCCTCGAGAGATCTGTTCACGAATGCGACTTCTGTTCATACTCAGAGGTATGTAAGCGAAAGTGACCTTCATTGACTTTAACACAGATAAGTGACATTCTTGACTTAAAGCTTTTGTGACTGCAGGAATTCAAACTCTTTGTCTTTCGGTAAAGTCACGTAGATAGAAAAATAATACAAAATCACGACGTTTCGATCGCAACAAGCAGGTGAAAAAATAAAGCAGGCGGACTGCTGAGGCAAGCAAAAATTGAGCGAGAGAGCTGCAGCCAAAGGTTATATAGGTTTGAGATGGGTACAACCCAAGGGTAAGTGGGCAGAGCTAGAGATGGAATTTGCAAGGAAATGTAAGATCGCAGAGCTAGGTATACCTCGGCCATTGTGTTGCTAGAGATTAGCATGTCAGTCTGTTAATGTAACCCCACGGCTACGGTGCTGAAGAAGCCATTGTATTGCTCGAGATTAGAGATTAGCATGTCAATGTGAGACGGCTCCCGCAGCAGCGGCTGTTTTAGAGACAGCCTATTAAACAATGAGTGCCACCGCCGCATCGAGGAAAAGGGAGCAGCCGCTGTTTGACATTTAGCCTCTTTATGTAAAGACATTGAACAAGGTAATGTAACTCAGAGTCGGAAATAACTGCTAGCATATGCAGATAGGATGGAAAGCGTCAGTCAGTTATGACTTGACCTAGTTTATAACATCCTTCCAATGATTGCTCAGTTTGGCGTACGTGCTTGCTTGTGGAAGAGATACGTAGATGACACGTTCGTCATCTGGCCACATGGCCTGCCAGCTCTGAACCAATTCTTCAACCACATCAATTCCATTGGGACACTGTCTACAGGAAAGCCACCCACACGGATGCCTATCTAATACCTGATTCCCACCACCATCTATCCAAGAAGAATTCCCTCATCAAAACTCTACACCATAGGGCTTGTTTCATTTCCGACCATCACCTAGCCAGTGAACTGGAGCACATCCACCAAGCCCTCAAGATGAATGGATATTCGGATTGCACAATCCGTAAAGCTGTCACCCTAACTGTTTGGAGAGAACCACCTGAGGACCCAATCAAAACCATCACCTTGCCATACATAGCAGGGGTCACCAAAAATATTTCCAAAATCATGAGTAAACAAGATCCAGGTCCGATTCAACACGGTACATAACATCATGATCTGATACCAACTGCGAAGGATGTGATCCCTGACATACAATACCCTGGTGTCTACAAACTAAGCTGTGCCTGCGGCAGTAGTTACATTGGGGAAACTAAGCAACACGTCTCAGAATGTGTTCGCGAACACAAGGCGGATCTGAAGAACGGTAGGACCAACACCTCTGCCTTGGCTGATCATTGTTTTAACGCTGTGGGCACACATGAAATTGATTTCTCCAAGACGATGGTACTATGCAAATCCACTGGCGATCAAAGATTTGTTCATGAAGCCATCCAGATATATAAACAGACAGTTTCAACCGAGAAGATGGGTACAAACTGAGCAATCATTTGAAGGATGTTATTAAGTTAACCAGGTAAAGTCATAACTGGCTGTGATGCTTCCATCCTACCTGTCTATACTAGTAGTTATGTCCGACTCTCTGAGTTACATTACCTTGTTAAATGTCTTTACATTAACAGACTAAATGTCTCACTAACAAAGCTGCTGATCCCTTTTCCTCGATGCGGCGGTGTCGCTCGTTTAATAGGCTGAATGTCTCATGAACACAGCTGCTGCTGCGGGAGCCGACTCACATTGACATCTCTAATCTCGAGCAATACAATGGCTTCTTCAACACCGTAGCCGTGGGGTTACACTAACAGACTGACATGCTAATCTCTAGCTTTGCGATCTTACATTTACTTGCAAATTTCATCTCTAGCCCTGCCCACTTACCCTTGGGTTGTACCCATCTCAAACCTATATAACCTTTGGCTGCAGTAGCTCTAGCTATATTTATTCCTGCCTCAGCAGTCCGCCTACTATTTTTTCACCTGAAGACGATTGCTTGTGATGCGATCGAAACGTGATCTATTATTTTATTATATTTCTATTTACATGACTACTGAAATACCCAAAGAGTATGTGACATTAACTTTCAACCATGGTAAATTGGCGGAAGCAACCATTATTTGCACGTCCATTTAATCAGATGAGATCTCGTCAAATTAGAGACATTGTTTAGAAATGTACGGTTGGCCAGGCTAGAAGGGGAGAAGATTGATGGACGAGACGGGGAACAGAATGGCAGCCAAAGGGAATCGGTAGATGGTATGAAGGCGTGTGTGCGGGACGGAGATGGCTTGTGGCATCACCGGGCCATGGAAGATGGTGATGGGCATACGGAGGCATTTTAGCAAGCGGATAGACGTGGTGGTTAAAGATTATCAAAGCTGGAGAAGGACATGTCCGCAGCAACAGCCACCTCTGACCCCTGGTTGGGCTGAAATGTTGAGCGGGAGTGTGTTTTGGTGCCAGATTGACAGCTGCGTCGTGAGAGGCTGCCAATGGATTTCTCCGAATGCAAAGACGTCATCACAACTGCTCTACAGGTTCACGCCTACTCGATTGCTGTGCGCACTGATTGGTTCAGCCAGGGGGTTTACCGACACGCTATTTAGTTGGGGATGTTGCTGATGCGTTGGCAGTGGAGTGCAAGCACAAATAACAAAAGCTCAACACACGCTGTGGCCATTCAAGGACAATGGAATATAGCTGACGCTTTGGGCAATGGCCATTCTTCGTAGCACAAAGGGCTATTTGCCCGAAACGTGCAATATATAATACTTGTATAGTCGACGTTTGGGACAATGGCCCTTCATAGCATATGAAGAAGGGCCGTTCATCCATGTGTTATGAATGCCCTTGCTGGAAACGTCACCTATTTTATACAGTACTATACTTTTCAGGACTGTACAGTACGTTTAAGCACTACAGTATTTTCACTATAGTACGGTACAGTAATTTTCAGTACTGTACACAGTACCGCACAACCCTGTTGAGGCCACAGTGTTGACGGACGTGTCGAGATCGACGTTATAAAGTGGGCGTCGTTGAGAGGCGTCGCTCGCCAATTGAACGTGGGCGGAAACGGGTGTGGCTAATCAAGAAGGGGGCGTCGCCCTCGATTCGAGGGAGGGGGGGAATGGGCGTGGCTCGCAGCTATTGCAGCGCTCTTATTGGAGCACGGCACTCGTAGGGCGTTCGCGAGCAAGAAAACAGCGGGTGGGGGTGCAGAGGGACTTAAGCTCGCTGATTGGCTGTAGAAAAAAAAGGAGGCGTGCCTTATGCTTGTAGGGGTAGGGGGGTGGGTGCAGTGAGCGGTGGGACCGGGGGCCAAGCCTCACGACAGCCGCCGTCACGCGCAGAGCGGGAGCCGTCGTCGTGCGTGGCCGCGTGGAGCGTCTTCGCCTAAGGGCGGCGAGTGTAAGCGGCCCGGCTCCCAAGTCAAGCCAAGCCAACCAGGCGTGCGAGCGGCCACTGCGAGGCCCTCCCCTCCCGGGGACGAGGCGCGGCAAAGACGAGGGGACTAGGCGGCCCCTTCGAGTTTCGCCCGGAGTCAGCGGCGGCGGCGGCGCCCCCTGCCTGTGGCGTCTCCCTGCCGCGTTCGGCTGCGCGGAGGCGGCGTCGGCAGCAGAGCAGGTGGGGGACGGGAGTTGAGGCTCTCGGGAAAAGAGGTTCTCGGTACCGTGACGGGCCGCGGCCACCCCATCCCCCCCCCCCAATTCCCCACTTTTCTTTCGCAGCCTCCCGAGGCTGTTGCGAGAGACCCCGGGCTCGGCTTGAGGTAGCGGGGAGTCCGTGAGCCCGTCGTGTTTGTGTCGTCGAAACGCGACCCCGACTCCAACCCGCACGCCTCTCCCACTTAACCCCGCTCGCAGGGTCCACTCCTACAACTCGATGGGTCTCTCACCCGCCCCTCGCCCCCCGTGCTAATTATAGCTGCTCCCACACCTGTTTCCCTGTTTCGTGCCTTGGATCCACGTTGGGGGTGGGGAGTGTGGAAGGCCTGGGCCGGGCACCCCCTCGGGAGGTGCATTCGGTAAGGGGGCCCTGGATAGGGATACTGGAGAGGGTTGTGAGGGGGGTCTGTGGTTGGAGTTTTACGGTGCGAAAATAGTTCAACATACAGTACATGTGAAGAGGGGGGGGGGGTGTAAGAAGTGTTGGGTTAAGGGGGGGTCCCTGGGTAGGGATACTGGAGAGGGGGGCCCTGCGTAGGGATGGTTGTGAAGGGAGCTCTGGTAGGAGATGTACGATGCGAAATAAGTTCAAAATACATGTCAAAAGGAGGGGGGGCGGTGGGGAGGTGTAAGAAGCGTTGGGTAAGGGGGACCCTTGTAAGGGTTATCAAAAGGGGCCCCTGTAACCCTAGCGGGTGAGGTGAGTCCACCGGTGCCAGGCACGGCCTCCTCTGCCAGGGGCCCCCTCTAAGTCAGTATAGGGGTCAGGGGTCGCGCGGACCGTCCGTGAGTCTGCGGCCCGGTTGCGTTTGCAAGGGAAGTTTCTCTCTCCTCTTACCCCTCCTCGTGGTGGCGGGTTCTAAGGTGCCCACCCCCAGTGGCGAACGTGGTCAACTCGTGGCTTTCACGAAAATTTCCGGCATTAAATTGGCAGAACGCTTGAAATGAGGGCCCCCTCGGTGTTGGTGTGTTGAGGGCTTGAGGTTGGAGGAGTTTACTGGCGTATTGAATGAGGTACAGATCTTTCATT